TCGTGCTTCTACTCTCTGCCCTGCACTGTGCCATCATGGGTCCCTGGACATACCCTGATTTAATGTAGTTGGTACATATTTCGGCTCATATAATTTTTTGTTGTTGTTGCTGAATTTAATTTGTATTTGGAAGCCTCATTCTACCTGTTAGAGATACCTAAGTTCAGGTAAATCAGAACCTTTCATCTTTTCTCTGGGGCTATGCCATGATTTAGAGAATAATAAAAGTAAAATGTAAGCTCACAGTCTAGTAAAGGAGAAAAATAAATGATCTATTTTAAAGCAATATGTAAAGTACTATTGCAGTGGGATGATATTTTGAAATAATAACATCATTTCTTATTCAGAACTCCATGTTTTTGCCCCATTTCAGTATTATGGGTTCCTTTGCCAAGAGGGTATTCTAGCAAAAAGCAGAGTAAAAACTTTTGAGTTTCAAAAACCAAGCTCCAAGGGAACTCAGAGATGACAAAATGAGTTAGATGGAGGCTTCTCATATGCCTCCTCCCACCCGCCACCCATCCCACGGTCTACTAGATGATGCTTCCTTAGAGTGTGGGAAGGAGGAAGAGTAGGAATAAACAGAGAGGAAATTAGATGCAGCCAGGTCTATAAGAAGGGTCTGCGTGCAGCAGAAGGGAGAATACCGGGACCTTTGAATAAAATGAAGAGCTCCCAGGGCAGACGAATTTATGCATTCATCCTTTGTGGATCCCTGGAGAAGCATTCAGAACCCAGCAAAGAAATAATAGCATGCTGCATCTAGGAGGATGGGGCCTTCCATGGCCTCTGTGGGTTAACAGAATGGTCTCGTGTTTCTGAAAGCAGTCCAGAAAGAGACAGGTCTTAGCACCCTGAACATTCCCATCTTCCAGCACAGCCTAGGAATATAAATTCTGTATGCCCAGGAAGGGCATCAAAGCAGGGAGTTTTGCTGAATATGAGGGCCCTTCAAAGATGGGAATGAGAGTGATATTATAGTCACCTGTCTGGACCAACAACCAAAGGACCAGGGAAGACAATGGCCTGGAGGAGACATCAAGTGGAGGCCAGCAAGGCCAGCAAAGACAGATGACGACCAAGAGCACATACCCTTTATGCCCTGCCCCATATGCTTTGGGGCTAGAGAATCCCAGAGAAATGATAGGAAGGAAAAGTATTCTGATTTACTTGAGCTTAGGTAATAAGAGGTAGAATGAGAGTTTCAAATGTAAATTAAATTAGGCAACAGAAAAACCTGTGAGCTGAAATATGTACCTATTGCACCAAGATCGAGGTATGTCCAGAGTACCATAGTTCCACACAAGAGAGGCTGGAGGAATCAGAATGGGGAGCTTGGCTTTAGGACTGAAGGATGAACGGAGTTCTGCCGGGGAGCAGGTGTGCTCTGGACAGAGGGAAAGCCACATAATGGTACAAATGTGGGAATGGCAATTTTGGGGGCTAGCAAGTAACTTGGTATGATTGGCCTCAGGGGACAAGAGGGGAGTAGCAGGAGATGCAGGTGGTAAGGAAAACTTGGATCAGACCATGGAGACTATTATATAGAATGCCCTGGTGCTTAAGGAGGAATATTCTGGCAATTATGTATAGAGTGGTTTGGGTGGAAGGGATGAGAGATTTATACTAAAATTAGAGACCATGAGTCCAATCTAGCTCCAATAGAGAAGGAAAACAGAACAGAATAAAAGGGAAAGCAAATAAGAATGAAGCAGGGGCAGGCACAGTAATTCATGCCTGTAATCCTATCACTTTGGGAGGCCAAGACTGGAGGATTGCTTGAGGCCAGGAGTTAGAGAATGGCCTAGGCAACATAATGAGACCCCCATCTCTACAAAAAAAGTTTTTAATTAGTTGTGCATGGTGGTGCATGCCTTTAGCCTCAGTTACTTGGGAGGCGGAGGCAGGAGGACCACTTGAGTACAGGAGTTGAAGGCTACAGTGAGCTATTATTGCACCACTGCACTCCAGCCTGAGCAACAGAGAGAAACTCTGTCTCTGAAAAAAAAAAAAAAAATGAAGCAGAAGAAAGCACTTAATACATCTAAGGAAGTAAAAAAGAACAGGCAGAAATGGATTTAAATGACATTTATTTCACTTATGGGACTCCTAGTTGTATGTCTAATTTTCATTTTTTCTCCAAACAGTAAAATTCCACAATCAGAAGTCTTATTAGAAACTCTTTTATGAAAGATATCAAATTCTAAGACAATAAAATATCTGCATTCTGATTTGGTATTTCTAGTTAGATAGTAAAATGTCCTCATTTCCAAACATTTTTAAAGAAGAGGAGCTATGTAGTCTAAGACACCAATGTGGTTAGCTTTGAAATAGTGTTTACTTTTTCCATCAAAGGCAGATTTTCAGTGAGATATAGCTCAGAAAGTAACGTACTTTGGGGCAAGTAGAAAATTTCTGAGGATTTCCTTTGTTATTGCCAGAGATATTTCTTGTCTGGTTATGACTTTTCTTCTCCATTCTTGTTTAAAACTATTGCAATTTACTCTTCTTATTGCACGAGGTCATGTGGTAACAAGAGGAATTCAGTGTTTCCAAAGCAGCTGGTGAAACATGCAGAAAGATGGATCACAGAAAAACACCTTATTTGCTAATTTTAATTCCTTACCATTCCCCTAGTTATATATTGTGACTTCTCAGGTGCCTTTTAGTTTCCTGCTGTGGGAGATAGTGAAATTGCTGGAATATAAAAAGCTTTCACTTGGACAGAGAAATAAATACTTAAAAAAAATAAATACTTAAAAAACGAAATACTTAGTTCTTCAATGCCAGAAAACAAACTTTAAGAATTTTCTTGCATACTACTATGTCCAAATGCACAATCAGTAAGTAGTTCTTCCTTACATAAATACTAGGTTTAAACATTACATATTTCTTAATCATTATGTCAATGCTAAACCAACGTAGAAAGAAGTGATGGGATAGGCTGACCATCCTGCTTCTAAAGCATAGAAATCTCAAGCAGTATTTTCCCTAATGTTTTTCTTTATCATAACTGTTTTTTTCTGTTACAAAAACAGTATAATCACATGACCCAAAATAAACTGTAAAAGAGGAAAAAATGGCACTTACAGGATGAGAATGGAGAGAGGCTGCCCCAGCACAGCAAGACCAGAGTGTAGCATTGAGAAGCATTTTGGTACACAGGAAAGGAGATGTTGTACAGAAGGGACATGGAACAGTGGTATACACATAGAAAAAAGGAAGTCAGAGAGATTATAGTAATCCTACGCTGCGTATGGCCAAAACTCTTCCCATGTCCTGCAAACAAGGGCAGACAGTGGAAGAGTTCACATGAGACTCAGTGGAACTGCATTATAGGGAGGCGAACTCACAGGAAGAGCAGCGGTAGCAGCTTGTGTGATATTCTTTTGCTTGCCATATTATGGGATGTCATATAGCAAATTGAAAGGACTGGCTATCAGACTCCAGGAGGGAGACTCCAATTCTTGGGTGGGGTGGCTCTTTAACTAATTAGAATTAAACCCTTTCCTTACTTGATCAGGGGCATGGGAAAAAAATAGCAATATGGAATGGAAGAAGCTGGACTCCAGGACTGTCCTCTCCGCTCAGCTTTAGTGGCTTGAGGATCACTCCCAAGCCTTGCAGTTGTACTGCTCGGATGTGGCAAGATAGCAGCAGGATTGGCTACATCTATGTCCATGGATGGGGAAGCATTCACCTCCGCCTAGCATGATGACAGCTGGGGTCTAAGCCTTGGGACTTCAGTCCCAGACAATGGACCCTTACCTCTCATGCCAATATCCACTGTCTCTCCTGTCCACGCTGATGAAGACTCTGATTTTTGGCAGAGCATTTGGCTATGCAGGATAGAGACTTCATTTTCCAGATCTCCTTGCATGTAGGTGGGTCATGAGATTAAATTCTGGACCATGGAATATAGGCCAAAGTGTCACGTGGTGGCTTCCAGGAGCTTGCCTTAAAGAAGCATGTGTATGTGCTTTGCTCTCTCTTTCTTCAGCCTCCTTCAAAAACATGAACACCACTGTCTCAGACACTAAGATTGAGGCCATGCAGGGCAAAATCACAAGATGTAAAGGGAACATGGTCTCTGACACAATGGAATATTATGCCAGACTTTTCCATGAATTAAAAATAAACATGTACTTTGTTTGGGATTTTTCTCCTGCTTACATCTTAATAATTCATAGGAGCAAGTTCTATCCAGGGAAGAGAATACACCGGCCACTTTTTTGACTCAATTTCAAAGATTCAAGCTAGCTGCTCCTGGGTGGGACATTTTCCCTGCAAAGAAGTTGAACGTCTCCAGCTACTGTAACCTTTGAATATTTGCATCATAGACCAAACTTCCTTGGTCTGATCCCATATTCATGCTGCAGCTTAATTTTAATTGTAATTTGACTTTCTGTAGATCCTGTCTACCAGGAAAGCCTGTTATGACCCAAAGATGAGAGAGCCCAGGTCCCCTGACAGTTATAATTCTTACCGCATATTGGTAAATTGGTGTTCTGGTTTTTACTATAGTTTCTAGGAGCCCGTTCCAGAGAAGCTACGTCTTCCAGTAGGCTGACCAAATCAGATTTCTGCAGGTGTGTAAGCCAGTTCCTCAACTAGGAAAACTCTCTAGGATTATGGCAACCTGTAAAGTCTCTTTGGATAGCCTCCCCACCCTCCCCACTGCTCCCGCCAATTCTCCAACCTGGACTTGAGCTTTCTGTTCTAAACTTTAACAATCACAATCACAATACAATCACCTAGATTAATTAAGAATGTAAGGTACAGTCTATTGTGCTAGCGCTCATTAGCCAAGAACACATGGTACACTAAGAACATGGGGCATAAACAAGTATTCAGTGTCCTGTAATGATTTTTACATACATTTTATTTTTAGAAAATATTTTAGAGATACACAAAATTATAATGCATCAACTACACAGCAATGATTAAAAGACTATTCTAGAGTCATGTTATCCTTTAATTTAATTACTGACTACACATACCTCTTAGCAGCTATGTGACATCGGGCAAGTTCTTCAGTTTGTCTAAGCCTCAGTTTCTTCATCTGTAAAACAGGAAAAATAGTGGGAGGCTCTCCTTAGCTTCTCTTCATGATTAAATTAGTATGACATATCTAAAGCTCTGAGACCAGTGCCCGACATATAGTAAGCACTAGTAGCTGCTATTCTTTTGAGGATTGAGATGATCCATGTAAAACACTTAGTGTTCTGCCTCGCACAAATCATTAGATGTTAGCCATTACCATAATTATGAGCCAAAGTCACTCAGTACACCCTTCTCCTTGTTCAGCCAGCAAGGGGCAGGGCCGGCGGCAGCAGGGAGTAGATTCTTGCGGCTGCGGCAGCTGTGCTGGTAAACACGGCTTCAGCTGCTCCTGAGCGTCCTCCCTCAGAGCTGGCCCCTCTCTGCTAAGGGAAGGGGATTATCTTCAATGAAAGCCTTTTAGAGACTCAGGTGAGAAGCATCCCTCTCCACTTTCCTTCTCTAGTCTTCGAGAAGCAGACGCAGGGAACAGGCAGGAAAACTTGCTTGCTAACTGAAAAGCTCTGTGCAGGCTGGTACCACACAGCACAGCCCTTGCAGAGAGCCATTAGCAAGGGCTCCTTATGGTCCCCGGAAGCCTTGCCAGTGTGGTTCCTTTCCTCTCCCTTCTGTGGAGCTGAATGTTAGTCTTTTCAAGGCTCTGGCAATGAAGCCTTTTATAATATCAAAAAACTTCCACATGCAGGCACCTCTGAAAACCATAAAGCTTGCATTTTTAAAATAGGCTTTATTTTGACAGCATGTTTAGGATCCCAGCATAATTAAGTGGAAAGCACAGAGAGTTCTCCTAATCCACCTGCTCCCAAACATGCACAGCTTTCCCCACTACCAACACCAGAGTGGTACATTTGGTATAATAGATGAAACTACATTGACACATCTTCACCCAATGTCCATAATTTACAGTTCACTCTCAGTGTCATACTTTCTGTGGATTTGGACAGATGTGCTATGTGTATCCACCTTCATGGTATCATATGGAGTAATTTTACTGCCCTAAAAATCCTCTGTGCTCTACTTATCCTTCCTTCTCACCTAACCTCTGGCAATCCACTAATCTTTTTATTGTCTCCATTGTTTTGCCTTTTCCAGATGCCATACATGTGGAACCACACAGTATGTAGCCTTTTCAAATTGGCCTCTTTCACTTGGTAGTATGTATCTAAGATTTCCTCCCTGTCTTTACATGGCTTGATAATTCATATGTTTTTAGCACTGAATAATAGTGCATTGTCTGGATATTCCACAGTTTATTTATTCATTCACCTACTGAAAAACATATTGGTTGCTTTCAAATTTTGGCAATTATGCATAAAGCTTCTATAAACATTTGTCTGCAGGTTTTTGTGTGGACATCAGTTTTCAATTCTGTTGGGTAAACATTAAGGAGTATGATTGTTGGATCATACAAATCATATGGTAAGAGTGTGTTTAGTTTTGTAAAAACTGCCCAACTGTCTTCTAAAGTGGCTGTATTATTTTTCATTCCCACTAGCAATGAGTTCCTATTGCTCCACATCTACACCAGCATTTGATGTTGCTAGTGTTTTAAATTTTGTCCATTCTAATAGCCGTATAGTGTTATGCCATTGTTATTCTAATTTGAAATTCCCTAATGACATAAGATGTTGAGTATATGCTTATTTGCTATGTGTATCTTCTTTGGTGCAGTGTCTGTTCAGGTATTTTGCCTATTTTTTTCCTTGTATTGTTTGTTTTCTTATTGTTGAGTTTTAAGCATTCTTTGTATATTGTGGATAGCAGTCCTTTATCAGATATGTCTTTTGTAAATCTTTCTCCCAGCTTTCTAATTCTCTTGACAAAATTTACATTATTTACATCTATTGTAAATTTCTTTCTTTCTTTGCAGCAAGTCTATTGCTATTTTGTGAGCCATGAAAAGAACATACATTGATGGCAGAGAGACTGCAGTGGAATAAACAACACATATTGCAGACACACTCAACTCAGGAAGTCCAGAATAGTTCTCATTGGCTGAACATGTACAGTACAGTTTTCTGGGTCTGTGCTTATTGGCTAAGAGCATATGATAACAGAGTATGGTAATAATATGTGATCACAGTATACTATAAGAGATTATGAAATATGAATTATTTTAGGAAACATTTCAAAGACAATTATCACTCTGGTAAGTCAAGTCAGCCATGTAAAATCTATGGTAAGGAGAATATTTTGGATGGGTAGGGGAGGGAGTTTCAAGGAACCCCACCTCCTCCTGGAAGACTATAATATTGCCCTTCCAAGTTGAAACAAAGGCTTCCTGGAGAAAAACAAATGGTCTTCATGGCACCCTGAAGACCTCCTAAGACTGGATATAAATTTACCTTGATTTTGTTATGAAGTCCAAGAGTGTATAAATCTCTGAATCTGTCATAGAAAAAGAATAATCTGATGTGGAAGAATAATCTTTGTGTATTGTGCTGAAGGCACAGACATTTCTGAGAGATTATGTACAGAAGTAGGTCTTGGGCTACCTAACTGCACTGTTCCTGACACATGGACATTGTACGTGGAGGTATCTTAGATGTTGCCCACATGATGGGAGAAGTTTGAAGGAGATACCCTTTTCTCAGATATAATGCCAAGTGTCAGACATACACATCTACAAATTTAATATAAAATTCTGAGCTCTGATATGAAACATAGGGAATATATTTGTTTGTAAATGTCACTTGTTGTTGTTGGAAATAACAGCTCTCAGGAGAGCCTGAAGCTCAAGATGCTGCATGTGGGAGTGGCCATTCACTTTGGCCACTTTTCATCCGATCCACCACTAAGGAAGGGCTGTGCAATACTGAAAGTCCAAGAAATGAATCCTAAGAGGTTTCTAACTTCAAGATATCCTATGCTTGTATTTTTACAATGTCACAGAGGCCAATACAAAAGAGTGTGAAGCCTCCACTCTCCGATCCAGACATAGAAAGCATTGTAAAATATGCTCCTCAAGAAAGTCTTACAACTGTGTCTCCTGGTTGGACATTGACCCAGCAGAGCTCCTGATACATAGCCTTCTTTGCCTCTCTCTTCCTATAGTTTATCAAGTAGAGGAAACAGTAAATGAGTTCAGAGCCATCTGGGATTAATCACAACAGCTTTTAAGACACTTGCAATTTAAGTCTACACTCAATGGTTCAGGCTAGCCCTTATGCCACATATCAACCATAATAAAAACAAAATATTTCATTTTTCTTCCCTTCAACAGACTGTATTTGTAATTCTGATTTTTTTGATTTACTATTTTTAAAAATACTCTAAAATAACACACTGAGTCATAGAGTGTAAATTAGGATGCAATCTTAAAGATCATGAGTTCATCCTCTTCATTTTAGAGAAAAATAAACTGGATTCAATTGAGATGCAGTACTTTTCCCAGCAAGTTTGTGATAGATCCAGCTCTGTCAAGAATCATATTTAAGCTAAAATAAACATGGTGTGATAGACTCTTGCTGTTTTTGCTATCCAAAAGTCCATTTACCCTTCTCTTGGTGCCTCAGTTTTCCTCGGGGGAACCCCTGCCTCCTGTCCTTCCACCAAAACAGACATGCACATGCTCTCTCAGTCTATGCCTTTCTGATAAAGTAAGTGACAAAAACATAAAACAATCAGCACATGGCATTTGCTCTGACCACAGTGATTGGTTCAGAAATAAGCCATGACTCAAACAGAGCAAAAAGAAAAGAAAAGAAGATTTTTACTGGTACTGCCGACACAAAGACCTTCATTTTAAACACAGAGTTGAAGTGCAAAATGTAAGAACCAGAGACATTATAGCTTTTCTGCAGCCACAAAAGGACCTGGGTAGGAATGAAACCCACACACAAGGGAAAGCAGAGAAGAGAATGTTTTCTTAATCCCTTTATCAGCCCATGTCTGAAGCCAAACTCGAGCACTTGAGTTTTTAGATAAATTGAACAAATAAATTCCTTTTCTAACCTAGTCTCAGAAAGTCACTTTTGAACTTGCTATTCCTCTGCCTGGAACGCTCTTCCCCCCAAATAACCACAGTTAGCTCTATGCCTTCTTTAAGATCTTGATTTAAGTGAAACAGTTAAATGAAATGCTTATCAATGAAGCATTTCCTGACCATTATATTTATAACTATAACCCTCACCTTCAATATTTTCTACCCTCCTTCCTTTTCTTTCCCCCTCTGTTCAGCATCTTTCCCCCTCTTATCAGCATCCAAAACTCTATATTTTATTTACTTCCTTTCTCATCTGTCTCCCACTAGAATGTCAGGTCAATGAACTCACAGATCTTTGCCCACGTTCACTGCCATATTCCCAGTCTCTGGAAGAATCCGTGGCATAGAGTAGTCACTCAATAAAAATTGGTTGAGCAGATAAATTAATTTACCATATCTATCCACAAATGATTCTCATTTAAAGCATTTTGCTTGTATTTATGATGAGGATAGACAGTGACCACAATAACAAATATAGACAAGTACAGAAGTCCCAGAACCTGACAATGATCTCATTATCTTTCTTTCTGATCTATAGATCCTAACTCCCCACTAACAGGGTTCCCTGAAATCCCAAATACCTCAGCTTTTTCTTCTACAGCACTGGAGATTGGCTTTTCCTTCTTCAAACTCTTACTGTTAGGCAGAGGAGAAGTATACTTCTACCTTTAGGAAGTCCCCCATTTTTCAACAAAACAATTAAGAAACATCCTAAGTGCTGTTTTATCAAATTCAGTAATTTGCACCTGAGCACCCACAGAGATCAGGAAAGCACCTTGTCTGACTCAAGATAGATGATCCCTCTTAGGAGTTTTCGTGCATTCTGCAACAGCAAGAAAGATAAATGGGTATATTTTCTGTTATTAAAACCTATCCCCAGTTCCTTTCTAATGGTTGAGATAAGAAAATAACCTGTAATACAGCCTGTAAGATCCCATTAATAACAACTTCCTTGGCAGTTCCAGGGTAGAGCATAACCATAGCTTTTCCTTTTCCTCCTCAAGTTCTTCCCTGTGACTTTAAATCAACACATAGTTCCCAAGAAATTCTCCAGACCCTCTTTGACAGTCCAAAGCTAATGGTGTTATATCACTTTTTGAACACTGCTTTTTGAAATAGCCCATCTATTAGTCCAAATGGAAACTTGGCAAAACAAGGCTGAAGGACAACTCATTTTGTATTGAGTAGAATTAAAAGCAATAAACCTGCAGCCTTGGTAAAACTTATGCATTTCCTTTCCTTTGTGAGAGCAAATTTAAATAAACAAAGGCCACATTTTTCCTTGAGGATTTATGTTCCCAGGCAGAGTGCAGTTGACAGGATAAACATAGATTAGTTAATCATTATTTCCTGCCATTTCCTGGTTATTATCTGCTAGAATTTATTAACAAGATTATCAAGTTAGGTGATATCATCTTCCTACACCAGCACCTGAGCATGGATTTCTACTGGTAGGTGTGGATTCCCATTGCATGCATCACACATTCCATCCCAGTCTCCCTGATTAACACCCTCACACGTTTGTGAATTGACTGGCGAAGATTGAGGTATAATCATAAGACATTTCAAATATAACCAAGATTTCAACTTTTACAAACTATTATTACTCTTGTGAACAAAGACTCACATTAGTGCTTATACTTACACATAAATCTGACCATTCTCCTGATATAACTACTCTCTAGGAGCTACCACTTACTGAGGAAGAGGTAAGTGCTATGAGATTGGAGGAAAGAGAGAGGAATTCAAAATTCGGGATCTTGGACAGTTTCTGAGAGGAGATGGGGAAAGCTTTATGACCAAGGCTTTTATAAACATCGATGCATTCATCCATTAGGTATTTAGT